TATATATATATATATATATATTGTGTATTTAGACAGCATTTTTTTCATTGATGCCTGTTTCATTAAATATTATAGACAAGTTTTGTCTTCTTATTTTATGCAAATTACTTTCATATCGTCTGATAAGCTTAATAACATTATGAAAACTCCACAAATATACTCAAATGCCTGTAATTGATAACAGAAGCCATTGGTTTATACCAAGGGCTTCCCATACTTAACACTTCTCGTTTTCACTCTCGCGTGATTATGTGGGACGTCATGAGCCGCGGCGCGATTTTCGCTTCCAGCTTTTCGTATGCCTGAGTTTGTCGTTGCTTAAAGATCTTCCGCGCAAACAAAAAACGACTATCATTATTGACATGTCTGTATATTGTTTAATATATCGTAATTTTACTGTCATCTTTGATGATGGCTTATGTAAGACGAAAGCTTAGATAGGATTAAAAACATGTAACAATATGGTGATCTTCTTTCGTCTTTCAATGATAATATTATTATGCTTATCAGATAATATGAAAGAAATTTGCATAAAATAAATAGACAAATCTTGTCTATATTATTTAATGAAACACACACACACACACACACACACATATATATATATATATATATATATATATATATATATATATATATATATATATATATATAGTAGTTAAGAGAGGAAGTACAAAGAATTACAGTTTCACTTATAACAGTGTTGTCTTTTAGGTCTATTTGTTGTTTTATTTTAATCCTTTAACACCGTCTAAGGTGGGAATCCGACGATAATTTAAGGAGTTTTAGCTAAGTATAAGAAATCTGAGAATTTGGAAGATTAAGAAAAAGAACGGAGAGATATCGATTGAAGTTGTATTTAAAATTTTGAAGCTTATAAATATCAAGGAAGAAAAAATCTGAACCGGTTCCGACAGGTCTGATATAATGGAATATGCATACACCTGTGTTCCCCCTCACTGGAATATGCTTGTCTGGTGTCCGTCATAAATACCGACGAACGTGTAGGTACGACAGAGTCAAAGTGCCTTAGTCTGAGAGCTAAGTCTATAACGACGCCCATTGGACTACGCCACTGATCTACACTTCTTACCTGCGACTACAACGCGTACCAGTCGATTACTGCTACCATATTGGTTATAGTAGCCAAAACCACTTAGACACTTCGTTCAAATATATCCCTTTCCGGGATATATCAAGGTCAAATGTGCGAGAAATGAAACTCTTAGAATAGAAATGCCAATCGCATCAGTATGACCTAGTTTCGGCTCTTGTGCGTTTAAATTCTTGTAGAGAGAGCTCCATATAAATAATTCTTATAGTTACAGTTGCATTGAATTTATTTCTAGAAAATACTGGCGGAAGTTTCTTCACATTCTAACGAATGTGATAATATAGCTTTTTTTTTCTATTTCTCTCCTTTTTCTTTATAGATATCGCATATTATATTAGTCATTTTTAAAACAGGAGTGGAAATATTTTTTGATACTGTGATTGAACTTGTAGAGGATTCAGAAGTTATTTCATATTCAGTGTATTTTCGGCTCAATAATTTACTTTTCAATTTTAATCCTTACCGCTTTTAGAGAATGTATGATGTAAACCCAAGTTGGTTACAGCAGAGATCGGCCACCTACGGCACGCGCGGCACGCGGATCACACGTTGCACGCAATGGCGCGCAGCCGCAAATGACATCACGAAGTCTGAACCAATAATTACGATAACGCATAGATATTTACCTCTTTCAAACCTGCTCACTCGTTGGACTCCCATTAAATAATAAAAACCTTTAATGTTTTTTTTACAAACAGATTATTTCTATTAATTATTGTATATATTACTAAATAAAATATATTGTAGAACAGGTATATTGACCTTGACTTGTATAAAAAATACGTATACTGTTGGCACACTGAATGATTTTAAAACACTAAACTGGTACATAGTTAGCAAAATGTTGCCGCCCTACCTGGATACAGCATTGTCTCGTGTTGGATGTTTATTTTTAGCGTCATATCAACACCTCTATGGATTATTTCATACCGAAATCTAAATATTTCGTACGTAATTTTATAATTTCAACTTCATATTTTGTACACAATACGTTTATACGTTCACTGTAAGTATGTTTTTGTGATATATATTTTGTAGATCATAAGAAGTATTCTTGGAAATTTTACTATAAAAATGTATTTTTATATTATTTTAATGTTTCATTGATTGTCATTTTGCTGTTAAAAGTTATTGTTTGTCCTTTTGTCATAAAAATGTAATGTTGATTTTTGTTTGGTGGTTCACTGTTTACTCATAACTGTGACAAGACCAAATGGTATCAGCTCGGGTTGAGGGTAGGCCTGGATAAAACAGAAATAAGTGACTCGAAACTTCTCAAAACTTCGAATCATCTGGTCAGGGATCTTGCTGCCATATGTAGTCTACCATTATACCCAGGAGTACATTAATATTTGCTCAAAATATAAGGTGGTATGATATCATTCTTTGCAAACAAGTGTGAGAAAGAATCGTATGATCATTATTCACATTGGTTTCAGCTTGTTTAACAACTGATTCAAACGGTCCAACCAGAAGTGAACTGAACTTTCTTCATCTCGAAAAGCATCTACTTTATTATGAAGAAAAATGGACCCAACACCATTTGAGATGCCGGTA